GCTTTGCTGGGGGTAAAAGGATTGAAGGAGCATGAAGGCTTCCTGCCAAAAGGGAAGAAACTGCCCAGGGGAAGAAATGCAAGACTGACAAGACCACAGGAGCAAAACCAAGACAGCTTACTGCCTCTCCTCCCCCACTCATGTACAAAGTCTTCCTACCGAGCACTTGGGGAGCTCTGCCCAGAAGATGTCACCTTGCTGACAGGGGCCTGTCACACAACTGAACTTTTTCGTCTCACTATGCATGCCGCTCTCTTGCACAAAGCATAGGAGAGCTGACCGCCCTGCATTAATTTCAAGGGTATTGTACAGACAGTCCTGCCTAATTTAAAATCTAGGCTTGATGTATGGATTTCTGTGCATAGGGAATCAACCACAAACCTAGTGTGCACTTTCAGGAGTTTTATTACCTTCAAAATTAAACATGCTGAGCTTTATTCTTTTTGTACAAGCTTATAATTATAATCACATCAGCTTGCACCAAAGCTATCACTTACCATAGCATGTGGATGAATTCTCTGCTGAGTAAAACCACTCATGCTGGACAAAACACTTCACATCAGGACGCTGTCAGGTGTACAACGTAGAAGCTCTGGCAGCGTTTCATAGCGGCATCAAGCCTCTGGTGTACCATGTGGATCAGCTCTAAGCCCCATGATGAAGTGGGTGTTCGTCCAGTTCATCACAAGGGAGTGCTTAAAGAGCCAGTGCTACCGCAGTCCCGTGTTGTGTGGGAGGCTGTAGTAGAAACAGCTAGTTTTGAGTTTTAGCTGTTTTAGCACTGATGCCTTAAAACCCTTTCAATACCATCCTCCCTGTGCTCAGTGATTTGGGCATGAGTAATGCTTTCCCTTTATTTCTTACACATAAGCTATACAAGCAGATTTACCGTTTCCAGGCAGGCTACATCTCTTACTCCTTTTCCACTTGCCCCTAACACAGATTCATCAAGGAGCCTTTTACTTGCAATAAATAAACTTTGGAACAGGCATAGCGTTGGCAAATGCAGGCACAAGCACAGGCTTGTTCCCTTGGGCTTTCCCTAGAGCCTGCACTGTCCTGACTGGAGCAACCCTGGTGCGGTTCTGGTGCTCTGCTTCGCTGTCAAGCGCAGGCATAAAGCTCCGCTGGGCAAGGCACCAACAGCTTACAAAGTCCATGTGGCTGCTTCTACCACCATCATCATATCCCTTTGGCTGTGCCGAGAAGCCCTGCACAGGGATTGTGTCCCTTATAGCACAGCATGGCCACCGTCTGCCGTGGGGGATTAGGCAGTGTCGCTGGCAGAGCACTTCACAAGTGACTCCGCTCGCAGGTATGATGCTTGATGTTACTTTAGTCATCAAATTATGTTTAATTCTGCCTTTCCCCCCCCCCTTTTTTTTTTTTTTTTCTCTAACTGGATGTTCCTTTTTCTTCTGTTGATGTGTAGGCTCCAGGGACGGCAGGGATCTAGGCTTGGACCGGTAAGAAGAAACCTCGAGCCTCTTGCCACCACCACTTACTGTTGCAGCATCCTTAAACACCGGGAAGAATTCTGGGTTGTGCTCAAGTATCTTGCTGAGTAGGACAGCAAGGAGAAAAGGTGGTTTGCTGGTTAAGGGCTTCCAGGGATACCCAGGGCTCGGCTCCTCACTCTCTTAACGCCTTTGAACCTGTGCCTCAATTTCCTCAACTGTAAGTAGTGAAAAAAATAACCAACCAACAGTGGCCGCTATGGAAAAACTTCTCTGTAAAGTGAATTCGCCCGTGTGCAGCCTGGCTGTGCAGCCACGAAGCACCGCTCTGCAGGAACACCTGCACACTTGTGCCCTTAGTAGGAGGGGCCCTATCATCTCATTAATACCCTGCTTTGCTGCAGAACGAGCTTGTTCGATATCAAACACCCTTCTCCCTCCCATTCCCCAGTGGGAAATGCATTTGGTTAGAAGGTGCAGAACTCAGGGTAGAGTCCAAGAAACTGAAAAGGTTTACCTGTGTATTCTGTAAGGGTGATCCATGCTAAAAATAGTGGATAAGCAACAAGGTGGTGAGAGTAAATGCCCTCATACTTCCCCGAGTGTCCTGAAAAGAACGAGCTGGTAGATAATGATTTTACCGAAGAGATACAACAGCACACAAAGATTACAGCTCAAATTCCAAAGGTCTTATTTCTTTTCGTCCATCCCAAACACGGTTTCCACTGGCTGTCCTGGGCAGGTCCTGCTGTAACACGCTCGTTGCTGCGCATGCCCCAGTGAACGTACGGTGAGAGAAGCCTTTGAGCCACACAAGAAGCCCTTCTAGCCCCGACAGTGACTCACAACAGACAGGAGGTAAGGTGCACAGGAACAAGGTGAGCACAAAGTGACACATTCCCCCAACACTCTTCTAACTTCCTGCACCTTCTGCCTCTCGGACTTCCTGAGGCAGAGGCAGTGTCTTTAGAACCTGAAAGTGCTGTAGTTACCTGTCTCCATACAATTTGTTCCTTGCAGAGACACAAAACTCGTCTGAACAAACATGAGTTGGGGCTTAAGTAGGTGCATTAGAAATAAAGCTGCTCCCAGCCTCTCAGGATGGTCCCTTCCACCCAACTCAACTCTGTCACAGGATCCCAAGTGGGCTCAAACACACGGCTCCCGTATGGTGTCTGTAATTCTTTGATGAAAACTTCCCCACAGAGAGCCATCAGATAAGAATCTGGAGTGGATGTGGACTCCAGGGCTCTTCTTGGGAAGCAAAGACAACACTGAACACTAAAACGCTTCACCTCCCTGTACTTTAGACAAAGTGAGATGTAGTAAACATTCACTCATTTACAAAAGTTTTTATTGCACAGTCTAGAGTTAATTTACAATAAAATACAGTAACTCCAAATTTTGTTTTCCCTGTCTCTGTGGTACAAAGATCTGCAAATAAACATAACTCATCTTAGGAAGACGGATGCAAATAGGTGTATAAACAATTTAATTGTTAAATAGCTCTTTTTCTTCTACTGGATCCTTCCCCAAAGTCTTAAAAATAATTAAAAAGAACACAGCATAGAAATGTCTTCTTTTAGTATTTTGGCTTACTGGAAAACAGGATGCGTGCTTGGAAGAACAACTCGGCAGACCAGCCAGCTGCCCCTTCCAATATACCCCCTGAGAGGAGACCCCTGCCTTCCGAAGGGGAACGAGTTCCCAGGACTGTATCACTGGAGAACAAGGCCTTGGTGACACCTGCAGGCACAGGAGTTGTCAGAACCCTGGCTGTCTCCCCAGGGTTTAATCTCTCCTATACATCATTTTCACTGTTCTTTTTGCTTTCAGAAATAGGGTGCGTGCCCCCGGGCCGCCTGCGAGTCAGCAGCCCAGCAAACTGGTTTTGAGTTTCAAGCCACAGTTGGTTTCCACCGTTTGGTGGCAGAGGGAGGGATCCACTCCTCCAGGTCGGCAGGCAGGGGGCTGCTAAGGAACCGCTGTGAAACAGAGCTATCGCGTCCTGCGGCTTCCCTGTCACGCTTCCCTGCCCGGCCAGCGAGCTGCTGCAGCAGAGTGTTTTGAAAGGAAGCCCTGGGTCGCTTGCATTTGGGGTGGACTTCAGCGGGATTTTTAGGGGTGAAGACAGGGACAAAAGACCTTCTCTTCCCAACAGGCCACAGGTTTGGAAGGGGTTTTGTCATAGGAGTCGACTGTGAATACGGAACGAAGTCTTGAGCGCTGAGGGAAAGGCATTCTGAATCACAAAAGGAGTGAGTCACTGGGGGACTGGGCTTACCAAAAGCAGGAGGGGACCTATACAGGGATGAGCTCGGGTTTGAACCCTTACAGGGAACGCGTCCAGGATAAAGCACCAATTCAGGAGCTGCGACCTCTTCTGTCAAAGTATCTTCCTCTATTAAAGAATGACATGATTTATTAAAGAATTCTACAGGTTTTGCTACCTCTCTTGCACTTGCATCAAAGAGATCAGCAGAAGCATTGTAGCTGCCCTCAGGGAAAACGCCGTTCCACAGCACCTCTCTCCTATTAACACCTCTGAGCGTATTTCCTGACAGTTCTGTCAACGGTTTTAATTCTTTTTTATATATCCTTCTTGTATTGCTGGGAGTTGCTGGATCAGAGTCCCATGCCCCTGTGAATACAAGATCTGTTCTTTGGCTTGGCGTACAAGAAGAATTTTCTTTATTTTCCCAACCAGCTAACCAGCTGTCGTGTGCGGAATGCACACAGGTAGCTGCATCGCTCCCTTTTAAAGAGGAGGTTTCTCCCTGTTCGGCAGTACGCTGGAGACTGATAAAAGACCAAGATGACTTTGAAATGTCAGTATTTGCTTCTTCGGACTGCACGGATCTGCTCTCAGAAACAGAACGCTCTGATGTAACTGGCAAGGACTGTGATAGAATAGGCAGACGAGGGTTAGGTATAAAGCAAGATGCAACACATTCCTTGTCAGCTAAAGATAAAACACTCGAGGAAGACTCACACTGTGACACCTCATCACTCGGAGGGTTTGCGTTCGACTGCAGACAAGCAAACACGTTCTCCCAACTCTCATTCTCTGCTGGCGGCAAGAACCTCCCCGAGACGCTCGCTTCAGGCAAACCACCAGCTCGGGTTTGCCTGGGGTACGACTTGTTAAGATTTACACCCAACTTGCCACTTTCAAGAAGGGCCTGTTTGCCTGCATCAAGGCTGGGTGACGTGACAACGCTCTTGCCATTTTCTATCCTGGCTAAAAATTCATTTAGGCTTTCTGAGAACGGGAGCTCATCCCAAAGCACAGAGTCCATCTGAGACACTCCAGCTGCATTTACGTGATCAGCAGCTGAGGCGTCTCTCTTGTAAAAAAGTGAGTTGTGGGATTTTTCTGGGTAAGAATAGTTTCTACTATTGGTCTTTGGGTAAATGCTTCTTACCCCAAATTCCAAGGGATGTTGTAACAACCTGGAACTGTTTCCACGTGAACACTCAGCCTTTGAAAAGGATACTCTCTCCAGTTTATCAGGCGCAGAGACACTGCTAGTCCAGCTAGGCTGCGAACTCAATTCATTTTCCTTCTCTTTATCCCCTTCCTCCACAGAAGCGCTGCAAAACCGCGAATCCCGAAAAGTCGGATTGTCGAGGCTCACACTGCACGGTTCTGCAGAGACAGGCCTCCCCTCTCGTTCATGCTGCTCACTCACCCGCTTTCCCACTTCCAGAGTGGGAAAGTCTTCCGCTGTTACCCAAGCAACAGATGAAGTCAGGCTGAAGGACTGCTGCCAGGACCCTAAAAAACTTTCTCTGCCGCTAGAATGAACAAAGCAGGAGTTCCTGCTCAGGCTGGACAAGCTGCTGAGCTCACTGACAGGTTCATCTGTTGGCGCTGAAGACACATCAGCTAAGTGTGAGCCGTTACTACAGCTCCCGAATTTTGCCGACTGCAGGAGCCGATGGACGTAGCTGATAACAGTAAAGCCAGAGACAGCAGCGTTTGGCAGGAAGATCTGGCAAGCTGTAAGGTTTTTTGTCCTTCTATTAATTCTGGACCAGTTTTGCAAGATGCTGCTGGCAGCAGAATGCCCTCCATCTTCCCTTGCACAGCCCTGCGGGGGAAACAAAGAAACTTAGTACAATGCTTTATTTTTGATAGGGGAAAAAAATAAATAATTAAAAAAAAAAAAATCATGGATGTCTTTTAAGCCGGGCTTAAATTTAGGTCTGACTTTTTGTCAGGATCTGCAGGGAAGGGAATACAAAACAGGCTGTCACACAAAGCAACGCTCCCTGGGAAATAAGGACTGGCAAGGGCTATAAAGGACACCACAGTGAGAGGTTCTTTGCTTGTTGCAAATACGCAGAGTTTTGGAGCTGCAAAAACAACCAAGAATTCTAAGAAAGGCCTTCACAGAAAATTCCCTCCTCCCTTTAGAGCACTGGGTGCTTCCAGGCTTCCTCCAGCGCAGTGCTGTGCGAATGGCCGGCTGCCCAAGGGCAACGCTTTTCCTTTATCTGGGAGGCACTGGGCAGTGCTTGAGGCAAAGCACTCTGGCACCAGGTACCTGACTTGGCAGCTCAGCTATCACAGCCCGCACGACACTTTCTATGCGCTACCTCTGTGAAAGGGAAATAAGCTACAACCTTTATCTTCTCAGATTTATTCTGAGAGAAGTGTTTCAAAGGAGCTTCAGCTGCAATTCCTTAGAGAATCTGCTTCTCTCTACACAGAAATTACAGGTGAAAAAATACATTAAAAGCAGAAGGAATTATCTAATGTTTCGAGAAGTGGATAAACCTTTTTTCACCTCCCGCTCAAGGTTTGGCAATGCCAGAGAGGCCAGAAAGCAAATAGAGCTGTCTTCAAACTCAACAACCCTCCTACCCCGAGCCTGTGCAAAGGCTGAGGCTGAAGGCTGTTGGGCAAGGACAATATCCTTCTAGGTAAGTCTTTCTAAAGTACGTTATGTGGCTTCTGAGTTTTACCTGGGGGAGTGCACTGCATGCACAGCTGACACAACCACACAGAAACATCTACAGCCAAAGGCTGAACAACGGGTTTTCGAATGTGAGTTCAGTCCTCGTGCGCGCATGAGCAGCAACAGGGCTGCTGATATGTAGGATTACTCGTATTTGTAAAGGCATCAGACCTAGAGACCTGCTAAATAGTTCCAGCTAAGTAAAGTTAACCCAGGAAGTCCTCTGACTTCCACGACTCGGGATGCTGCGCATTAGGACAGTCTCAGATACAACCTCATGGTACCTGTGGGAGAGGAAAAACACCTGCCAGGTAGGATTTAGTTCACAGACTTCATAAGACGAATGACTCACACTAATACCACTTGATGAGAACTTCAACGACTGTTTCTATGGAAATGCTACTAAGAACTAATATTTCAAAGTCTGTTAAGCACACGAGCGAGCCACAGATGCACACGCTGGACCGCTGTACTTCATCAACATTTTTAAACACGCTCTTGAATCCAGAAATATCAAAATGCTGCAAGGGGATGTGCTTCTCCTTACATTGCAGGCACAGGGAGATTCCACTGCATGGGAAACGTAGGGCAGTGCTTGAAAAGACAGCCTGCTTCTTGCTTGAACTGTACAAGGCTTGTGACAGACTCCAAGCTGTTCCTGCTACGTGCAGGAGCTGGCACTGCTCAGGCTCGCTGTAAAGCAGCCCTGACAAGCTGTCAAGCTGACTACTGCCATTCAGGATGGCTTTTGGATGTGACTCATTTAAAATAACACAGGAGTCTGGGGGAAGAGGAGCAGAATCCTTCCCGTTGTCCTAGCCCTAAATTTTCTCAGACTCCCAGAAGATGTTGCGCACGATGCTTTGATAACTCAGTCTATGCCCCCAACTGGCTACATGCTAACGAAAAATCTCTTTATAAGAGAGTAATGTGGATTAAAAGTTACCTTCACTCCAAATATAAATCTTTTTCCAATGAAACAGGTTTCCACTGCTTGAACTAACACTCCTGGAGATGCATCTGTGTGTGTTTCTCCTGACAGCTGACTGAAGTCTTGAATACACCTTGAGTGAGAACATACAGAAGTATTGGACCAACACAGGAAGCCTCACATGGCACTTTAGCTGTAGTATAGGTAGGACGCACGCGAAAGCAAAGGTACTGTGGTAGCTTAAACTAAACGTAGAATGAAAACAGGAAACGATGAACCTATAAATTCAATTGTTCACATCACTTAATTAGTGAAAACACAACCCCCCTCTGAACAGGTTTAATGCAGACACAACTTCCAGGTGTTCCCTGTGCGGCTGCGGTTTTTGCATCAAGAGCAGGACCGCACAGCGCTGCCACCGGGCTGCGGCTGCTCACCCCTCCCTTCCGCCTGCACCTGCGCAGCGACAGCAGCAGCCGGACCAAGACATGCAACTCCCTGGTCTTCCCAGCCGGCAGGGGCACAGCGGCCTGGCGCAGAACGGCTGCCACCAGGACGTCGGCAGCGCTGCCAACAGGGGAGTCACAGAGCGTCCATCTTCGCCGGTGGTAACACAAGGCCCCGGGAAGTCACAGAACCGAGAGCCAAGCAGGGAATGTAGCCAGACATCCCGTCCCAGCAGTTTCACGGGAGGTGGTCAGGTCTCTGGGATCTAACAGAGGCTTTCTGAGACATCCCTCCTTGCTAAAGGAAAATCTGGTCCTACCGAACACCGGTCATAAGGTGCACAGCTTTTTTTTCCAAATCCAAAAAAAAAAACCCCAGGAGAGTCTCTATCTTTACCTTAAGACTCTTCTAAAATCTTCAGGAAAAATTAAGTCTAAATCTCTGGAAAAGCCAATTTACTTAGTAATCTCCCGTTAGACAACGAAAATTCAATCGTCTCAAATAAAGGAAGAAGGATGCAAGGAAGAAGCCCAGCCAACCACACTGTGAAGCTCACTTAGCAGCTGGTAGCTGTCTTCAGTAGTCAAGTGGAGGATCTCTTATGTAGAAGTAATCCATCTCAAACCTTCAAGATTTCAAGAAGAAACCAACCATCAGCATTTTCTCAAGGTGATGGGTACCAAGGAAATGCTGGAAGGGAGCAATTTAGCAGCTTCTTCCCACTCATCTCCCCACCATCCCAGCTCATCTCAGTTTTTTTAGGCTGAAGAAAAAGCAGCAGCTAGACAGTTGGAATCAATGCATTCCTTACCTCTGCAGATGTTCCGCAGTGACCCCGAAGAACGGATCTAAGCAACTTCCAAACACGGTAACGTCAAGCACATCATTAGTGTCAGCCACCTTTAGGGACAGTCTGTACCTGTAGCTTGCATCCTTGGCTTCACCTGTGCAGCCACATTTTAGACAGTTAAACCTGACAAGACAGTAAAAGGATAAAAAAGATTGAATACGTGAACTTCTGTTAATCCCTGCTGAGGCAAGAACTCATCTGCGGCTGTAAATGTTACTCCTACCATGTATCAAATATTCCATTACAGACTGTAAGATTCTTTCTTATTCTTTACTCCTAGAGGCATTAACCTTGCCACAGGCTCAGCAAAGGGGTCGGTATCATGACAGAATCCCTCTGGCTCCTTTTATCGATTTATTAAATGCTCGCCTGTGGGGAAGTGGGAGATAGACAGTGGGCTTTGAGCGACCTGCTGGGGAGTAATCCTGAACTCCCTGCTCTCACAGTGTTTGCATTTTCCTCTGGTTTGGGATTTTTCTTCCTGTAGCTTTAGTATAATACCTAGATTTAAAAAATCATCAGGAAGCAGCACTGTCATCTTTTACTTCAGCATTTGAAACAACAGATATTCTTGCTTTGCAAAGTCAGCTCCTTGCATTTAGTGCTGACATTCACGGATTTACTGGTTTTCTGTGTGCCATAGATTTCACGTAACAGAGGGATTAAAAAGGAAAGCCCACTCGTTTCTGGACACACAGTAAGTGGAAGAGTCATACAGGGCTACCTGATGCATTGCACATATAAAATGAAAAGAAATTTTAAAAAAATAGGGCTTGATTTGGAGGGCTTTCCACAAATGCTTTCCAACTTTGGAAGAGCACTGAAGAACTGGACTGTGGGGGATGCACTTAGAAGATATTAACACAATTTATTCTCCTGCATGGCACTGAACAGAACTCTTGATCCAGAAGGACCTCCAAGTCCCTACTGGAATACAAAGAGATCTAAATAGTGGTAAGTAACACAAATACATGAAATTAGAGCTTATTGCTACGATGGCTGGATTTTCACCAATTTCTTTGAACTTGTGCTCAGCTAACAGAAATTCCCAAGGCCTCTGACAGTTACCGCTACTGGTCCCCAAAACAGGATGTACCTCCTAGAATCCAGTATCAGCCTAGAGAAGCATTTTTGACAGGCAGGATAGATGAAGCAGGAGTTCTGGATGGAAATCACAGAGGCAGCCAAGAGTCCTCTCACACTATTCATGTGCTCACAGCATCACCTGAAACAAGTTAAGTCAAAATAGTTCAAAGAATCCTCATTTTTTGAGATGGTAACATTAACTGCTTTTAGCTGGGTTTTGAATATTTTGAAGGGTGGCCCTGAGGAAACTATGATCTCTGCTTGGAAATGGCAGCCCAACTGAGGAAACATCTATTATTACCCTTTAAAAAGAAAAAAAAAAAAAAAGCTGAAGATATGTAATAAGAAGGAAGTGTTCACGATATCTGCACACCCTTGCAGATAAACATACAAATTCCCACTTGTGTTTAGGGAATCTTTATAGCAGAACTATCCTTGAGCACAGCACTGCAGCAAATCAGTTTCTGATTTTTTCCTTACTTTAGAAGGAAGTCACAGCATGGGGTTAAAACCTGAAATGATTCTACCCTTGTAAATCTGCCATACCCACGACTTGAAAGGAGAGGATGCTCAGAAGATCTCAGAAGGCCTTGCAACTGCACCTATATTCACACCCTTTGGGCCAGAGGGACAGCTCTACAGCATTTACCATTGATTTCAACAAAGAGGCTGCATGGATCTGACAAATAAATGAGAACTAAATGTTTAATAAATAGGAATTAATTAATTTTTATTCAGTATTGCTTTCCTGCAGAATTGTCATGCCTTTATTATCACCATACTGTCCAAAATATCAAGTTTTAGGAAACGTCCCCATTTTAGAAAGTTAACTTTGTTCTCATGAGATGCTAGAAACATGCAGACAAATATACTCTAAAATACCTCAAATAGAGTTCCAACTGAAAAGAATGTTCTTGAACTAAAGGCCACCTTAAAAACCCTTCTTTGCAAAAGCACTTTTATCCCAGTAATAGCTAAATACACACCTCTTCCCAAGGTAACCTGCAGAATAAACTCAGGATAGGAAGTGAATTTCAGATCTTCATCCCAGAACTCCCTCAGGGAGGCAGAAGGCCAAGGAGCTAAAGCAGACTTAAGTAGGGCTTTTACATGTTAAAAACCATTCAACTTTTGTTCGTATTTTGCCATAAAAAAAAGTTCAACTTACAGGCTACCCCTTTGCCCTTAGGGGCACCACTCAGCATTCTGGTAAAAACAACATCTATAACATGAGTACTAGAAAAATGTGAGTGACTAAACTCACTACTCTGAGTAGTTCAGAAAAGAAAAAACCAATAATGCCAGCTATCCCAACATTCCCTATGGCAGAAAGGCCAGGAAAACAGAGATAGGAAAAGGTAAATGCTTCACTGGAAGGCCAACCAAACTGAAAAAAAATCTCTCTTCAGAACCCATATTAACAGAGGCATATTTGACCTAATATATTAAATGCTGCATGCCTTCAATTCTGGCCAAAGCAGAACTATTTTTAGTTACAGTACAAGATATCAGGAAAAAGTACAAGGAAAACATACTAATACATAGAAAAGAAGTAATAAAACTAAGTCTGATTTTGTTATTGCCCGAGAAAGCGGACCTGAAGAAACCAGATGGTGCTCCACATTCCAACTGGTTTTCAACTCAGAACTATATAACCAAAGTATACTGTTATCTGCAGTTTTAAATGAAATAAAACCAAACCCCAACAGCCCCAAAGACACAGCAAACACTTCAAGTACTCCACTGGAATATGGGAGGCAAAGCATAGCATGTACGTATTCACACAAGTTCTGGTAAGAGCTCCCTTCAGAGCAAACAGACTCCAGATTTCCCCCCAGCACTGGGCACTTTGAAGATTCAGATGGACAGGGTGCTGGGCCATCGTGTCTAGACCGTGCCCCTGCCAAGGACTAGGTGACCCTCGAGGTGTCTTCCAACCTGGTATTCCGTGACTCTACGAAGATCTACACCTCTATTTCCCCTTGGTAGAAATGCAGCACTCGCTATCTAGACAGAAGTTAAAGAAGAACAGTACAAATAGATGGCTTTTATTTTTTTTTTCTTTTAATAAACGAACCAAACCAAATCTCACCACCTCACAGCCACACGACACTCCGGGTGCTCTCCGCCGTCCGGAGCTTTCCCTTTCAACAGCCCCCGTGTCCCACCGAGACTTCCACCAGCGCCCGCTGCCCTCTAGCGGCCCGCTGCCTTCAACTCTGCCCCCC